GGCAGGTGATGTTGAAACAGACCTAGAGATGCATAGAGTGGGCGAAATGGCCATGGATAACTGTAAAAAAAGCTGCTTTTGTAGTCTTTTCCAAGAACTCTGAAGAGGTTGATGGTTGCTTTGGAATTGACCCTTCTCCAAAGTCAGCGAATGATGGGACAAGGGCTGGATCGGAAAGAGAAACAATTTTTATTGCAAGAGAGGTCAAAGTAGTGTCAGAACTCAGTTACAAAGGGAGGAAGGAAAACATGGATAATGGGTTATTATTTTTGTTGAAAAGGATCCAGGGATCCAATGGGAAAGTCACAAGAAAATTACTTGCAGACTAAATGGGCCTCCAACATTTCTTTGATGAGCCTAAAGTTAAATCCTTTTTCTCCATGCTGAAAGCCCAAAATCCCAATCAAGCGGTCAAGGATAATGGTAAGGAAATAGAACCGTTCAATATCTTGGAACCTTAGACTACTTTCAAGAAAGACATAAATCTTCTTGTCACCAAAATGTACAAATTTTTTCTGTCTAAGTCAACTATAATTCAACTTTAGATTATTATTCTAGTGATTTGGTTTTTTTTTTTTTCATCCCACCATAGATTCCGATCTAGTGCAAGGTAATAAAAGAAATTGGGAAAGGAAGAGGAGCGAGGTGTCATCCAAAATATAGGAGAAGGTTATATGTTTAAGTCTCTCCATCACTTGTATTGCCATTTCCTGGGCGAAGGTTCTGATACCATGTTGGGGGGAGATACTAGGAGCATTGATACATAGTGTAGGATTAGGCACATTTGTGAGAGACACGCCACTTCTCCACCTAAAACCTTAAGGTGATAGGTGAGTGGGTTCTCCCACTTATATATGCTTAAGTCTCTGCATTCCTATCCAATGTGAGACTATTTTCCCACTTACTCACACTTACTATATTATTCAAATAGAAATGGTTAGAAAGAAGATATCAATAAAGTAAAATCAAGAAGGATGCAATCAAAGGAAGTCTCAAATGAATATTATGTCGTATAATATTCGAGGAATATGACGCTCTAATAAAAAGAGGAACCCGGATCAGATGATTTCTAAGGGTCAATGTGATGTTTGTTTTCTCTAAGAAATCAAGATTGATCAGTGTCAAGAAGAGGTGGCTCAAGCTCTTTGGGGAAAGAAGGAAGTTGAGTGGTCGTTCAATGCAGCTTAGGGAAGGTCTGGTGGGTTGCTTATCTTATGGAAATCAAGTATCTTATCTCTTAACTTTAGTTTTAAAGGGGAAAGGTGTTCATTAGTATGAATGTAGTTTAGAAGGGGAAATTAATTTACCTAGTAAATGTGTATTTATCTTGCTTTCTGCCCAAGCAAAAACAAATGTTGAGAGAATTGTTGGATTGTAAGAATAGGTTCGCAGTAGGTGTTTGGGTAATTGTTGGTGATTTCAATGTCATAAAGAAAAATATCAGACAAAAGGTGAGAGCTTTTATGTAAACAGGGTGGAAATGGTAGATTTGGAGAAATTCATTGCTTCTATGAATGAAATGGATCTTCTTCTTTTTTATGGGAAATTTACTTGGTTCAAGTAGGATGGGAGTGCAACAAGCAGGTTGGATAAATTTTTATTGCCATAATCTTTAGCTTTTGAATGGAAAGTGGATTTTCAAGTGTTGGAAATTTGGGCCTGTTTGTTTTGCCTTTAAAAAAAAATAGATTTTTACTTTATATTTTCAAAAATGGATTTTATAAAATCGTTAAAATATTACAAGTTTTTTTTATTTGTTTTTTCTAAATTGAAAGATTAATTTTGATATTCTATAACACAAACATACATTATTGAAGATTAAAATATTGTCGAAATCACAATTTTTTTTTTAAAAATTGTATTTTAAAAATGATTTTCATGAAAAGCCATTTGAAATAGCTTCAAAATTAAGAGAATTTTTAAAATTTTGACATCCATAAAAAGTTTCAATAAAAAGATGAAATGTCTAAAATAACATTTTAAGAATAACTAATCAAATCAAATTTTAATTTAAAATTTTTATGAAAAGTTTCTTTATAAAATTTTTTAACACAAAATTATGTTACACTATGAAAATCATTTAAAAAAAATCAAAACAAATGTGTCCTTCACTACTACAAATAACGCTTTTAACCTCGGACACGAAATATATTTTACTTCAAATAAAGTAGCGAGGTAATGAAGATCGTCATAAAAAATTTCCACTTAACACCTCGGTGATTAAAAACCCGAGGGGTATTGTTGAAAACACTTTATAGGACAAGTATTTAAATTATTGTTTTCCACGTAGATTTGTGTGATATTACCGCCGTTCTACAATTATAATCATTTTAAGCTTAAGTTTCATAAAAGGGTTTGGTTTTGGTTTTAGTAACATAAAATGTCAATTTCATGCAAAGTATAAAGTATCGGTAAAGAAAAGTTTCGGTTTTAAACGTTTGGTAAAAGTGTGTCAAGATTAGGGCTCGATAATCTCTTTCAGATGTATTTTCTCAATAAAGTATGTGAACTCATTAACAATAAACATAATCACATATCCTCTCAAGATTTTTTCATCTCTAAAACAAATTGTGAGTTTTATCAAATTGATCCTTAGATAATCTCTCTACCTAACTATCAATTTGATAACTTTAAAAGCTCAGTATTAGTGAATATCAACTCACAAAACTATGTCTAGAAATTGTTCATTGATAAGTGAAAACCTAGGTCAAGAGACGAACATACTTCTCAATAATGATCAACTCAAATATAAACCACAAAACAAGAGTTTTCACCATATATTTATCATCAACATGTTCACATACAAAATATCAAGCTAAATACATACATAGATGAAGATTATCTACCGATAATTTTGACACAAAGAGGGATTTAGCTACCCATCACCATGGTAGCTTGAGCAACAACTAAAGTAGAAAGCTTGATGAACACAAAGTAGAAATTATCAAAGATTTAAGGTAGAAATCTTTGATCTTGAGTTAGAAATGATAAAAAGTATTTCTTAGACCTAAATATATGATTTTAATGTGTTTGATAAGAGTTTGTCTCCAAAATATCACAAAAAATGCTACTTATACGAGTGCCCAAAAAGTGACTTCCGCTAAGCGGTCTGAACGTGCTAAACGGGCTCAACGAAAATATATTTTCCTGATTCAGTGGATCTCGCTAAGCAGGATGAGGCTGCTTAGCGGGCCCAAAAATGACATTCTGCCAAATGTGCAAATCTTCATAGCACGCTACAAATTGTGCTTAGCGCGTTAGCCTGTACAAATCTCCAATTTTTAACTTGTTGCACCTCACTCTAGGCTTTAGCTTGCCCAAAGCTCCAATGCTCCAATGACCAACATCAAAACCTACAAAATGAGCGTAAAACTAAGTAAACAAATAAACTATATAACTGCTTATTTACATCTATTTACAAACTTAAACACTACTAATTATCAAAATAGAGTGCAAATGACACAAAATTATCTACAAATATATCAATATTTTGGTCCTTAACACGTATACTTATATGCTCATGAGTTTGAATCCTAACAACTGCATTTTTATTATTTTCAAAACTAGTGTTTCTCTTATCTCGATTTATTCAAACTATTGTTTCTTTTATCTCGGTTTATTCAAAAAACTAAGGGGTATGATTTTTTATATATTTATAAATTGTTACATTATTTACCCAGAATATTACATTGTTTATCTAATATTACATTGTTTACACAGAATATTAAAATTAAAATAAAAGTCAAATTCCCTATGGTTCAAGATAAAAATAAAATTCCCTAGGGTTCTAGATAAAAATCAAATTCCCTGAAGATTTAGACTTTAGATCTTCGAATTATTGAATCTTAGAGATGATCTTCTATTTGATCTTACACGTAATTGTTTCTGGTGAATAAAAAAAGGTAAGACAATTAATATAAAAAATCAAATCATTTTTGGTTCGAATAAATATTTAAAAAACAAACCTTGAACCCATAATTTTTTATACTCTTGCAATTCATCATAGAGAACTTTCACTAGTGTAGAAATGACTTTTTACATCGGGTGAAACTGACTTTTTACATCGGTTCTGGGTCCGATGTAAAGTCAGGTGATATAGTAAATCGGGTACTTTTTACATCGGTTCTGGGACCGATGTAAAAAGTCTCTTTTTTACATCGGTTATAATATAAGAATGATGTAAGAAATAATTATTACAATATTTTTAAAAAATGATGTAATTTTTTACATCAGTTGAAAGTAATACCCGGTTATAATATAAGAATGATGTAAGAAACAGTTATTACAATATTTTAAAAAAATTGATCCAATTTTTTACATCGGTTGGAAGTAATACTCGATGTAAAAAGTCCCTAGTGACGCAACTTTTTACATCGGTTATTACTCCCAACCGATGTAAAAAGTCCCGTTTTGAAAGTTTTTACATCAGTTTTGAGTAATAACCGATGTAAAATGTATGAAATTTTTTGGGAATAAATTATTTATTTTCTGGATGTTTCCCTGTACAAATATAATTTGTACCCATTTTTTCATATTTTTCCAATATCACACAGACTATATTTATGTCGCTATATATATTTCATAGCTTTCCAACATCATATAGACCACATCTAGGTCGATGTTTTCATATTTTTCACAACAAACTTACAAATTGAACAATTGTATTGCAAACTTGTATTGTATTACAACAAACAAACTTACAATTACAAATTCTTCACAAAATATACAAAAATATTCAACTATTTATAAGTCTTTTTCAAAACTTACAATTACATATTATTCACAAAATATACAAAAATATTCAACTATTTCTAAGTTTCCAAACTTGAATTACCAATATAAAATCTTCGGTAGACAACACCAAAATCACATTGCCTAACAAAAAATAATAACAATTAACATCAGCAAAAAAAATCAAGAAACTCAATACATGTGCAAAAACCACATGTATTGTGCAAAAACCACAACTTAGACAATTCTATAAAATTCACCAGATAAATTTAATTTTTATATAACTCAAAGAAACATTTTTCCCAACGGAGTCGCAAATCATACAAATCATCTTGTGTTAATTCTGTTGGGTCATCAAATACCTATAATACATAAATATAACACAATAGAGAGTTATTCTTTAAAAATTCATATTAAGTCGAAAAACAAAAAGTAAATAACAAAGTAAAGTTATTTTTATTACCTGCATCCAATTCTCGGTTATATTGTCAGAGACAATATCCAACATATTTTTCATCACATAGTATCCACAATCATTAGAGTTATGTTGTTGCCTTGTCTACAATTGAATGACATAATTAGTGAATATTTATCATAAATTTAACTATAGAATTACAATTTACATCACACTTACATTGGGATGAAGCCATGTAGCCTTTTTTCTATTTCCATTTGTCATTTGATGAATCGCAAAAGAACTAATACAGAAAGATAAACATCACATAACTAAATTTACTCGCCAATGAAAAATCACATAACTATTAGTTGTCAATGAAAGTCACATGAAAGATAAACTTACTTTGTAATAATTTTCTTCGTGTTCTGGTCAATTTCTCGATGAATTGAACAAAATACGACAACTAAATTGTCTCTTAGACACATGAATATTAATTGTCAATATCTCCTATACGTGTGTGTGAAAACAGAAAAGCCACATAAAATATATATGTTATCAAAATTAAATAATATAAAACACAATTTCATAACAATTTTAGAATATATTAAAAACTTTTTCAGAAATTTTAGAATATATATTATAATTCATTAAACAAAGATGTTCATAGTCTCATTTAGTAATTTCATAAACTAAAATATCAAATTTTCAGAAATTTACAATAGATGAAATTATTTGTAGAGATTAATTTATTAGAACGTGTATTCTCCAAATGTTTTCAAATATGTATTCTCCAAATGTATTCTCCAAATTTACAATAGAGTCATATGTTTTCAGATATGAACGTGTATTCTCCAAATCATATTTTAAAATTATTTAAATGACAGAATATATTGTTGATTTGATTTTATTTATTAGACAACAATGTAACAATATAGTCCATTGATTGATTAATCATCTGATTAAAACATTTATCAAAATACATTTTAAACTGAAAGGTGAAGTAAATGTACCTATAAAATGAAGAGAGGGACAACCAATTTTTGAAGAATATGCTTTCTCTACCACTGAAGGTTCCAAAAACTTAGCCCCTCCTATTATTATAAGAAATTTCACTTTCGGAACTTTTCTTAGTGCCACACCCTATTAAAAAAAGTATAAATGCATGAATAGTGAAACGTGGAAAGAGGAATTCAAAGTCAAACAAAAGTTTCTAGTTTTCTAATACATGCCTTCTCCTGAAGACCCGGCAGTGCACCTGATAATATCGCCCCCTATTTTATCAAATTCAAACACAGATTCAGAACCTTAGACCAATCAAATCAAATAAACCTTAATAATCCTTCAAAAATTGCAATTTTGTCCCCAGAAACCAACGAAAATTTTAGATGTTCCATTAAAAAATTGAAAGCTAACCTGTGAGAAACCAAGAAGACCATCAAACAATCCATGTTTGATCATGTAATCCTCAATAAATTGTAAACACTCATCAAATTTGGTGTGCTCTGTAAACTCCTGTTGTTATTATACAATAACAAAAAAAAAGTTAATTAACAGCAACAGTCAAGGTTTTTAAACGGTTGCAATCCTAAATACTATTCTATCATCTTCGTATCAATTAATCACAATTTATTTAATTTATACTTAAATATAAAATAATAAATGAAACATAATTATAATTACGTATATATATATAAATAAAAAACCTTGTTGAACTGGAACCACTCGTAATAAGGAGGATCGAAAATTCCTTCAACATCGGATTTTCCGGTGCAGGGAAAAGGAGCATCGACGAAAACAAGTTCGAGTTTGTCTAGAACGTTTTGTGGCCATTTATGTATCTGTTTTTTCATTATCTCTCCACTTGTTCAAAAGCCATGAAGGCACAAAAACCTTGGTTTTCTCGCCGCCGTGTTCTTGTTTTGGTTTTCCATCTCTGTTGGACGATGGTTGGAAAAAGGGTTTGAGAGAATTTTTGTGACTATGAATAAATGGAATGAGGTTTGCGGAGGCAATGAATTGAATCTAATTTAAAGAATTAAGATTTTGTATATATAACTCTTAGAAATCCATAGATATACAATGAAGTTGAACGAAATAGAAAATTTTGTACTAGAATCGTAGTATGACGGAGGAGGTTTTGAAGACGGCGACAGTGTGACGGCTGGAGAAACGGATCTGCGAGGAGAGGGCGGAGGGTGGACAGCGTTCGTAGGCGGAGGCGTTCGTAGACGGAGACGAACGGACCGTGTAGGCGGAGACGGGCGGATATGGGCGGAGACAGACGAACTGTAGCAACGAGGGTTGTAAGGATAAGGGCGGAGACGGACGAACAATAACGAAATAAAGCGCAATGTGGGTTTATTCTCAAATATATACAATAGTTTTTACATCGGTGGACATTATAAACCGATGTAAGGGTTAGCTGACGCTCATCTTTTTTACATCGGTGCATTTCAATGACCGATGTAATAGTCAAATTTTGAGGTTTTTTACATCGGTTTATCGAAAGGACCGATGTAAGGGTTCTCAGGTTTTTTACATCGGTGGATTTCAAGAACCGATGTAAGGGTTAGCGTGTTTTTATATTACCAATCTGCCACTCTCTTTTTTACATCGATGGATTGCAAGAACCGATGTAATAGCTAGCGTGTTTTTTATTTACAATTCTGCCACCTAGTTTATTATTTACAAAACTGCCACCGTGTTTTTTTTATGAAACCTTTTACATCGGTGAATTAATTGGCCCGATGTAATAGCTAGCGAAAAATATTTTTTTTCATATTGTTTATATCATTGCAAATAAATACCTGATGTAAAATGTTTTTAATTTTATTTTTTACATCATATATTTTTATACCTGATGTAAAAACCTTTTCTCAAGTGTCATTTTTTTAGTAGTGTTTTCTAAGCGTCCTTAGGTTTCAAACACTTCATATGTTTCATTTAAGTTAGATTTTATATACTCAGCATGGTTTTATAATGGATGTCTCTTAGGTTTCATACATATCACTAATGGTAGCGTCTTGAACATTAGTAATCATTAAATGTACGACAAAGATTGTCAAGGCTGGTGTATATAGTATAGAAAAAACGCTTAACTATCACCTCCGTCATGACAAATCATCGAGGTGAATGTGCATTCTATTTTTTTTAATTACATTGTTTTCACAAAATATTAAAAATATATTGTATGCAACAATTATTCGATGATATCAAGATTTAGATGCTATAGGTCACACGCAAGATGCTATAGATCTGTTTCCATGGCCAATGAGAATTTTTATTTTCTACACTTGCAATCCATCCCAGAGATATGTTGAAGTAGTGGTAAATATTTCCTCTATTTAGAGTGACTTCATATTATTAACGATTAGTGTAAAATATGTTTAACGAGTGTTTTATAGTAAAATATAATTATTATACCCATCAGTTTAAATAAAACTAAAGTAAATTATCACCCTCTTTCAACTATCACCTCGGTTTTCGATTAAAAATGATGTGAATAATTCTTTTTTAATATTACAATGTTTACATGGAATATTAAGCTAAATTGTATACAACAAATCTTTAGCTCCCTTCTTTGTGTAAATTGAAGCTCCCTTCTCTTTTTAAGTGTTTCAAATATGGGATGCATCCAACTTAATGATGTTTAGATGTCAGAACTTTGCATTGAATTCACCATTTTTTAACAGTCTGTTTGTTTGAAGAGAGAGAGCAGTACACAAGAAATGTCATACTATTTCTTTGGTTAGAAATGTACAACAAATATTTTTAAAAGTTAAGCTCTGAAGCGCGGTTGATTTTCTACATTTGCAATATATCAAATGAGCAAAAATATAACATCAACAACATCAACACCATTATGTGAGATAGATTGCAAGGGCAGAAAAATATTTTGTTCTAGTTAGAAGAACATTAAACATTTTTTCTGTCTTGCAATCCATCTCATAGAATGATGTATGCGGGTTTGAGACGATTTAATATAAGTAAGAATTATGTTAAGATCTGTTTGACGAGTGCTTTTATAGTGAAATCTGATTATTTGATCCCTCAGTTATATTGAAAAATCAGAGGATTAGTTTATTTAGTTTACACTTATAAACAAATAAAACATAAACTACAAAAGCTGAGATTTGAAGTGTGTCTTGATATGTTTTTCCCTTCGATTTTCATAAAAATTGAGAGAATATGTTGTTTTTATTATTATAAAAAAATAAAAAATATAATGCTGTTAGATATAATACCTCGTTTTTTTTAGTTGAGGTGAAAGTTTTGTAATGAAATATATTATTTAAAGTAGTACTTAGATTTATTGGATCACTATCCAATTTAGATCAAAGGGAACAAATTGAATCGGCCCCCCCAAGCCTTTCAAATTCTTCAAATATTGGATGGAACACAGTCAATTCCTTCTTTTCGGGTAGAGGTTTGGAAATCTAATTTGGTTCATGGAAAGACTATGTATGTTTTAATGGAGAAACTGAAAACTCTTAGAGAGAAGCTTAGAAAGTGGAATAATGTGGTTTTCGATATTGTTCAATTAGAGGTTGTTGAAGTTGTTAAGGATTTCAATGATCTTGATACTATTATGGCTGAAGCAGACAGTGTAAATTTGGACGTCATTCGATCCCAAAGAAATCAAGTTGCCGGTAGAGTTTGGAAAAAGATGCATTTCAATGAAAGTTAATTGAGACAGAAATCAAGAGTCAAGTGACTCAAGAGAAGGGGATAAGAACTCTGGTTTTTTTTCACAATGAGATCAAGACGAGAAATAGGAGAAACAACCTTATGGGATTAATGATTGGAAGAGGCATTATTAAGCAAGTTGATTTTGTTAAAGAAGAGATCAAGAATCACTTTGAGAATGTTTTTCATGAGAATTTGTCTAGGAGACCGCCGTTTAAAGGTGTGTCCTTCCAACAATTGAACCAAGAAGATAAGGCTTTCCTAGAAGCTCCTTTTTATGAAGATGAAGTGAAAAGTGTAGTGTGGTTCGAGTCTACGGACAAAAGTCCTGGACTATATGGGTTCAATATGTGCTTCTTTAAGGATTATTCTTGGAATGATTTGCATTGTAATCCAGGAAGGTACGAGATTAGTTAAGTTTTTATTTATTTGTGTCTACGTTTTTCGTTATCTAGTTGTTTTGTATCTGCTTGTTTTGATCTACCCCTTGTACTTCATTCAATACATTTTTCTTATAAAAAAGAGTACACTAAGATTTGTAGCATAAATAATAGTTAAATTATATAATTGTCAAAATACATTTGGCCTTTTATAATAAATTATAAAAAAAACTTTTTTTTTCTAAGATAACTATTTTTTTTATTTATATCTACTTCAATATATTGCACCCATACAGTGCCTCATGACAATCTTTTATGTTATAACAGCTAGATCTACACGGTATCTACCTAGTTTATGTGTAATAGCTGACTCAGGTTAAGGGTAGGTTTCTCACGTAAGTAAGCGTTTTCTTTTCCGTTTCAAACCATTTATGGGAGCTTTTTATCCAAAAAAATTAACCCCACTAAATATTTGATAAACAGTAAAAAAAAAATTCCCTCTAAATTGCACTATTCATTAAAAGTTTGAAAATACTTGGGTTTTAAACCCCCTCAACATGTTAAAAAGCATAAAAAAAAGTTAGAATTCACATAAGAGACTTATTAGACAACACTGCAATAGCTAGCAAAGTTTATATTAGAGAGAGAGACTCATAACACATTACATGAGGATTTATATAGGATACAACTTAAAAAAAATTTAGAACCAAACAGGCCCAACAAAACAGCAAAAACATCAAACTACCACACTGGAAACTGCTTTCCAGAAATAGGGAAACCGAATTCCCTAACAGGAAAACAGAACTGGAAGACACAATTTTGTGACAGAAATCGATTTCCTCAAACTGGAAAACCAGTTTCTCCTTCAAAACACATAATCTTTGCAGCTTCCAAAAGTGTTTTTCAAATAAGTTATTTTGCACGAAATGAACTTAGAAACTTCCAGAATGCATTTGAATTTTATCCAACATCCAATAAACCACCTTAACTTAAATGCTTAACATCCTTCATACCTAAACTCATCACAAGCTTCTTGAACACATCATTTGTCACACATTTCGTCAATAAATCTGCAAGTTGTTCTTCGCTTTGACAGTATTCTAACTTCAATTGGCCTGCACACACCAGTTCCCTTAAGTAATGAAAATGCATCTCTATATGCTTGCTCCTCCCATGTGCTATGGGATTCTTTGCAAGGTTAATAGTTTAAATATTGTCAACCAAGAGCGTAACAACTTTTTCTTCATTAATGTCCAGCTCCCTTAGCAGATTCATAAGCCACACAACCTAACACACACACATCGATGCATCGATATACTCAGCCTCACAAGAAGAGAGTGCAATCACAAGTTCCTTTTTAGAGCACCAAGAGATTGGAGCTCCGCCGAACAT